AATTAAAAAAAAAAAAAAGTTTTCCAGAAGAATTTCAGCTTACACTTTGAGAAACTGCCAGCACTGACCTCCTGACAATATGGGTAACCAGTACAGAAGCACAGTGCAGTGAAAAGAACATGGTGCGTGCCAACAAGAGCCCTGGCTCCAGCCCCAACACTGCCTCATCCTACTGTGTGCCCTTGGGTTCCTCCACTTCCTGCTCTGCACCTCGGCTTCCCTATCTGTAAATGAGGATACCAGATTAAATAATTTTTAGTAGACTGTGTACTCCATAAGAGGAAGGGCTCTCTCATATTCATCTTTGTACCTCAAGTGGCTTGCACAGTATGGCAAAAGCATTTCTTGTTAAGTAGCGAATCTAAGGTCCCTTCTAGTTCAGACATCCTAGGATTCTCTATAACGGGCATATGATATGCTGACAGAAAAAATTCCAGGATAATTTTCAAAACTCTGGGATGTTGTATTGCTTATAGGTAGATAGAGGCCACAGGGCTTCCAATCTGCCAGCGTAGCCCATTTTTCAACATTATCATCAAACTGAGGACAGATGCCATCCATAGATCTAGGTCACCAAAAACAGCAAATGCTATAAATGGATTGGCTTTGCTTAAAACTGATTGGATTCTTAGCTGATGGCATCTGGAGAGCCACATTTCCCATCTGAAGAGCATTCACAGGACATTCTAAGCGAAAGATAACTTTTAGAATGACTTACCCCCAAACCAGTAGGATTTTCTGGGTGAGCTGCCGTATTCAATGCTTTGTAACATGTATCCTTTGGAAAATAGTGCAGGCAGTCACTTCCTAATCTCTGTAATTATTGAAAAGACGCTTAAATTAATCTCTTCTCTAAGCATGTTTGTTTGCACTGAAAGGAGATTCACAAGGTAAATAAAGACTTTAATTAAAGAGATTGTTAAGTGTGTTCTTTCTTCACACAAAGAAAGAGATATCTTACAAAATTCCAAGATCATATAACTGGCACATTTCTAAAATTTAGGGAAAGTATACAAAATGTTAATTATACATCTATTTTAATTAGTTAATTAATGAATTAAAGTTAGTTCTATACCCAATGTGGGGCTTGAACTCACCACCTCAAGATCGAGAGTCACATGCTCTACTGAGCCAGCCAGGTGCCTGGATATATCTATTTTTAAATATACAAAGTAGGAGGGTGCCTGGCTGGTCAGTCAATGGAACATGTGACTCTTGAGTTCAAGCCCCGCTTTGGGTGTGGAGCCTATTGGAAGGAAGGAAGGAAGGAAGGGAGGGAGGAAGATACAAAGTAGGGGTGGGGGGGCACCTGGCTAGTTCAGTGGGTAGAGTACGCAACTCTTGAGCTTGAGGTTATGAGTTTGAGCCCCACATTGAGTGTAGGGATTACTTAAAAATAAATTTTTTTGATAAATAAATAAATGAATAAACATACAAAGTAGGATATTTTAAAAATTTTTTGCCTGGCTAGCTCAGTTGGTAGAGCATGAGACTCTTAATTTTTTTTTTTTTTTTTCAAGAGACACAGTGAGGAGGGGAAGGGCAGAGAGAGAGATCCCAAGCAGGCTCCACACTGCCAGCGCGGAGCCCAATGAGGGGCTCAAACTCACGAACCTCAAGATCATGACCTGAGCCGAAACCAAAAGTCTGTGGCTTAACTTAGGCGCCCCATACAAAGTAGGATATATTTAAATGCATCATTAAACATTTTTGTTTTACTCATAGTACTTCTATTCAAAAATATTTTTAGATTTTTTTAATGTTTATTCATTTTTAAGAGGCAGAGAGAGACAGCGAGTGGGGGAGAGGCAGAAACGGAAACAGAGTCCGAAGCAGGTTCCAGGCTCTGAGCTATCAGCACAGAGTCCGATGCAGGGTTCAACCCCATGAACTGTGAGATCATGACCTGAACCGAAGTTGGATGCCTAACCAATTGAGCCAATCAGGCACCTCCCCACCAATTTTTTTTTAATGTTTAGTTATTTATTTTTTGAGAGAGAGAGAGAAAGTACGAGTACAAGTGAGGGAGCAGCAGAGAGAGAGAGAGAGAGAGAGAGAGAGAGAGAGACAGAATCCAAAGCAGGCTGCAGGCTCTGAGCTGTCAGCGCAGAGTCTGATGTGGGGCTTGAACCCCAGGAACCATTGAGATCATGACCTGAGCCAAAGTCAGGTGCTTAACCAACTAAGCCACCCAGATACCCCATTCCAAAAATTTTCAGAGCTGACTGCTTACTTCAGACCTTACTGTTTCTGTGAGAAAGACAATTTCTCCTGTTTACTTATTTTTTTAATGTTTGTTCATTTATTTTTGAGAGGGAGAGCATGTGAGTGGGTGAGGGGCGGGGAGGGAGAGGGGGGGAGAGAGAGAGAGAGAGAGAGAGACAGAGAGAGACAGAATCCTAAGCAGCTCCACACTCTTAGCACAGAGCCCGATGCAGGGCTCAAACCCACCAACTGTGAGGTCATGACCTGAGTTGAAACTCTCCTGAGTTTCCTGAGCACCCCTCTCCTGTTTAAAATAATACTTCACTTAACCGACTGAGCCATCCAGGCGCCCCTTAATACTACTATTAATACATATATATTAAACATATGTAACAAATATACACAAAGAACATACACAAATAGGTATATGAATCTGAAGGATATTAAAATGAAGCCAATTATGTCTCCTGACCAGAGCGATCATACCAAGAATTCATTAAGTTACATATTATATAACTTAAAGGCAATTTAAAATCTCAACGACAAGGGTGCCTGGGCGGCTCAGTCGGTTAAGCGGCCAACTTGGGCTCTGATCTCACAAGTTCCACATTAGTCTCTCTTCTGTCAGCACAGAACCCATTTCAGATCCTCTGCCGCTTCTCTCTCTGCCCCTCCCCTGTGCATGCATGCACATGAGCTCTCTCTCTCTCTCAAAAATAAACATTAAAAAAATAAAATATTCCCAACAACAAAGTATATGTACTTGGGTAATGTCCACGTAGTTGTGATTTATTATGAGACTAATCTAAGAAGTGAAAATACTATTCAGTTATCTTCCATTGTTTATACTGTGAACACATAATATACTTGACAGGAGGGGCAGTGTCTTGTTCATTTTTTTTTTTTAACGTTTATTTATTTTTGAGACAGAGAGCATGAATGGGGGAGGGGCAGAGAGAGAGGGAGACACAGAATCCGAAGCAGGCTCCAGGCTCTGAGCCATCAGCCCAGAGCCTGACGCGGGGCTTGAACTCACGGACTGTGAGATCATGACCTGAGCTGAAGTCGGACGCTTAACCGACTGAGCCACCTAGGCGCCCCTGTTTTTGTATCTGAGCTTTAAACATAGCCTGGGAGAATGGATGCAGTGCAAATATCTGGGGAATGAATGAATAATTGCACACTAAAGTAAAGAGTATGCTTGGCAAGAAGTTTTTGTTTTGTTTTGTTTTGTTTTGTTTTAAAGTAGGTTCCATGCCCAATGTGGGGCTTGAACTCAAGCGACCTTGAGCTCAGGAGTCGCATGCTCTACTAACTGAGCCAGTCCGGTGCCCTACAAGCTTTTTAAGAACCTAACAACATAAGGGTTCTTTAAAATTGACCAGCAGCAAAACATTCAGTGAAGTTACCTGAGCTTGGTCCCAGATTTTGGTCAGGAGAGGCTGGAGGGGGCTTGGAAAAGCCATAAACTCAATTATTGGCTTTGGATATCCTTGTTGTTTCCAGATAAAACCAGGCCTAAATCTGAATTCCAGAAACCATTGCTGCTCCAATTTGCTTTCCAAAAACCTTCAGACACCCAGTGGTCACTCTAAACATAACTCAGAGAATTCTCCTTTAACTCTCCAGTGCAGTATTCTTTGATAGACTCCAGCATATATCCAATTGTTATTTTCCATCAAGAAAGCAGGACTCAGAGGGTTGTGACTTGTTAAAGGTCACAGGAGGCAGAGCTGGGGTAATGGATCTTATTTCCCTGGACTCCTGGTCCACTGTTCATGTAAATGCTGATTTCATATCTCCTTCCCTCTCCCCAAATCTCCTTCTGTACACAAGACATCAAAACGAAAGCTCAAACACAAACAAAACCACAGTGGAAGCACTGGAAGAAGGTCTGATTCGACCCTCTAATGGTAGATAGGGGAAACTGAGGCCCACAGAATAAGTGGGTCTTGCCCAGAGTCTCACAGGGAGTCAGCACTAAGGCCAGAAGTTCCAAGGTTGCCCCAAATTTGGGGGACAACCTGTGTACAATTTTTCCTTCCTGTCTCTTCAGATCACAAATGTCCCCCGTTATATCCATGTGGACTGCCAAAGCTCATTTTTGATGTGTTGGGGGTGGGGTGGGGTGAGTAGTTCACCCAAACAAGGTATATAATGCCATCCAACCCAAGGCCTGCCCTAGAACTCCCCGCTTTGGCCAGGTGGGCTGCTGCAGCCTGCAAAGCGCGAGGGCTCCCACAGCTCTGCCCGTCCCTCCCGTACCCCTTCCTCCCCCCATCGTGCTCCATACCCACCAGCCGGCTGGCCGGGCCGGGAGCTGGGGCCGGCAGGGGCGCCGAGTGGAGGGAGTCAGCAACCACCACGCTCCACAGCCTCCCATGCCACCGCCCCTAGCAACGAGGCGCGCGTCGCTAGGGCAGGAGTTCCGCGAAAAGCCTCCGGGCGCTCTCCCGGCCCCAGAACTGCAGTTCCGCTCATCTGCCGTCTCCCCGAGGCCGGGCCCCGAGCACCCTGGCCTGTTTTCTAACTGGAACAATGCAATGATGAGGTTCCAGAGAAAAGGAAGGTTCTGCCCGAAGATCGCGCTGTCTGGGAATCTACAGAATGCAAGAAAAGCGGTACCACCGAGAAAGTCACCGAGAAAGTACTGAATAAATGTCATCTTTTAAATAGTTATTCGCCCCCTTGGAGGTGTTGTTTTAGTTTTTGGAGTTTTCCATGATTCCACCCCGTGATCTCTCCCTTGGACCCTTTCCCAGGTCCCCCCCACTCCTATTTCTTTCATTCTTTCTTTCATCAAACCGTTGCAGCCCAGCACCACAGCAAAAAGACCCCTCAATATCATCGTGAGATCCAGTGGGAAGACAGTTCCAGAAACGAACAGCAGCTGGAGTTGCATTGCTTCCAGACTAGAGTCTATTCATTTCTGTATTCCTAGCGCACAGGGCTTGGTGCAGAGTAACGGTTTGTTGAATGGATGGATGGATGGATGGTGGATGGATGAACAAATGAATGGATGAATGGCATCCTAGCCAACATTTCTCTTGCACCTAGTAGGGATCTGCTGTAGTCCTGATCTCCCAGCAGAATCACCTACAACAAAGACATGTGGAGTTTCTGAAAGCTGGGTGACTGTGGGAACAGGAGTAGGGGTGGCAAGAGAAAGTTACCTTCACAGAATAACAGAGCTGGCCATTGGCTCTATCTTCCAATGCAAAGAGGGAATATCCTCCACAACAGTCCTGATGGGGGATCCTTTGCCTCTGTTGACTTCCCTCCCTGATGATGCACTCATTACTTTCTGGATCAGTGTCCTGTTCCTGACAAGAGCTGAGGTCTACCCCCATGCATCACTGATCTTAGTTCAGAACTGAGGGCTCTCTCTACAAACTCAATCTCTTTTGCCCACAACAACCTCGTAGACTTCAACCAGGAGAGACTGATTGTTTTGCCCTCAGGCACTGGGCTAGGCTCTGGGTAGCTTAGAGAGTTGACTTACCTGATCCCTGTCCTCAAGATTTTCTTCCAGAAAAGGCTTCAGGTTTAAGGCACCTGAGACTCCCAAACTGGTATCTCTAGCCAGACTTCTCCCTACACCTGTAAATCCACCTGCTTTCTGTCCTTTTCCACCTGGCTGAATAAAATACACTTCATTCTCAACGTGACTCACCCTGGAAACATCATCTTCCCCCCAAACCTGTTCTTCCTCTTTTCTCTCTGAGTGCTGGGCACTACCATTCACCAATCACCCACCCACACCAAGGATCTTGGAGTCATTTGTAACTTTGTAACTTCACTCTCTCTTCTTTGTTCCAGAACAACCCCAAGACTCCTGAATTCTTCCCCTGAAATAGCCTTAAAAAAAAAAAAAAAAATCTGTCCACTTCTCTCTACCCACCACCCAGTTTCAAGCCAACATCATGCCAGAGTGTGACAGATTAAAACTGGCCACAAATTCTTTGTAGTTTCTCCCATCAGGGCTGGTCTAGTAACTTATTTTGACGAATAGAATGTGGTAGAAGTGACATCATGCTACTTTTGAGTTTCAGCCCCAATTTGCCAACCCACAGAATTGTGAGCAAATAAACACTTGTCATTTTAATCCACTAAGCTTTGGGGGTGGTTTGTTATAGACCATAGATAACTGATATTCAAAATAAAGTCCAAATTCCTTCACTAGGTCAATAAGGCTTGGTCTATATCTCTTTAGCCTCAGCTTCCACCTCTGGCAACCACACTGTAGGTTTCAATGGTCTAACCTACTTGCAGCTTCTTGGCTCACCTTGCTGCTGCCTTTGAATCCTTGCACACAGTGTTCCCTCTGGCCAGGGTATCTCACCTGTCCGTCTGGCTAACAATCCTCAGCTTAGAGGCCATCTCCCTCTCTACCCTCAGGTCTTCCCTAACCATTTCTCTCTTCCTCCAGATTGAGTTAGCTACCCTTCCTTTGTGCTTCCAAGGCCCCCACACTTTCCCTAACGTTGTGTGATTTCCCATTTATTGGTTTATCTCACTGGGTTATGAGCTCCATAAAGGCAATGACACAGTCTTGTTTACACCTGTATTTATTGCTGATGTCTAATACAAGATCCAGCACAGCACTGCAATAGAAATTTCTGCTATGATGGAAATGTTCTATGTTTGTACTTTTCGATATGCTGGCCTCAAGTCACATGTGGCTACTGAGCACCTGAAGTGTGGCTAGTGCAACTGAAGAACTGTTGTTTTTTTTTTTTTAAGTTTATTTATTTTGAGAGGTG